CTTTCGATTTTGAAATTATATTATTTTTAAGATTTTCGTATAATTATATTTGTGCATGATATAATAATATTCAAGGTAAAAAATACTATCAGTTATATAGGTATACCAGTGCAATTTCATAGATATAGCCTGTGGGATAACAGGATCATCTCAGTAATATTTTTAATTTAATATTTAAATTTTATTATAATATTTGTATTTATAGTATGTATAGTACAGTTCATACTGCAGAACTTCTTCTTTATCGTATAGATAATAATAGATTTATAGAAACAATTGTGACAAAAGTAGCTTGGCAAATACAAAATATTGAGAAACTAGCACGTATAAGTATAAACTATACACGCGATTATTATTGCGCCTTTGGCTTTGAACAATTATTCGCCAAGGCGAGGCCGTGATTATCGGGGAAGTTGTAGTCTCCCTCGCAGCCGCCAGTTGTGTCAAATTTGACCAATCAACTTGACAACTTGTAGGATATGTTATTCACTTGCGCAAAAATACTAATAGTTCTAATGACGGTATTGTTCATCTTTGCATAATAGTTTACACCGGTTTAGCGCCTTACGATTCCCGCCTGGTTCATCACTTGCAAGTGGTAGTATTACAGTAAACGTGGCAAATTGTTGCTAGACTGCCTGAAGCACATAGACATAGATTTTTGCCTTCTCACACACAACTGAGTAGGTCTTAAAAAGTGTGTAAATTTCCGTTCCAATATTCCTGTCCATCTACTAACACTTATTAATAATAACTGGAGCACTTAGTCTTAGTGATAAGGATAGCTAACTAGAATGTCTTTCAAAAATAAGTAACATTAACAAAACGTTACTGTGTAACGCAGTAAACAATTACACAATTCAGTACTAGTATAAACTATTATGCAAAGATGAACAGTCACAATACTCAATACTCAATAATAGGCGCAATAATAATCACTTGTATAGTTAATATTTTGTATTTGCCGAGACACTTTTGTCGCATTTGTTTCTGACAATTAATCTATTATCTATATGATAAAGAAGAAGTTCTGCAGTATAAACTGTACTATGCATCAGCTATAAATACAAATATTATATAAAATTTAAATATTAAATCCCAAAATCAGATTGGATAATCCTGCTATCCTACAGGCTATATCCGTATGAAATTGCACTGCTGGTATACCTATACTAGAGATTTTTTATTATATTATATATTATATCATGCATGTGCATGCAGCGTAGCACGCTTTTCAGCAGCAAATTTTCGTTCTCTGTTTAGATTTTAATATAATTATACGAAAATCTAAAAAAAATATAATTTCATAATCGAAAGTCCAAAGTCCAAAGTCCATAGTCCAAAGTCCAGTCCAAAGTCCAGTCCAGTGTTTACAATATGCCCTGTATTAACTATGCTTCGATATCAGTGTAATCTAATATTTACTTTTCATTAATTTAGTCAAACGATTTTTATCGGCCGACTAAAATCGCATCGTGTGCGCCAGGCTTAACCGCAACCCTAACCCTAACCCTAACCCTAACCGAATTAATGAAAAAATCCAAAAAGAAACGACTTTAGAAAATCGATAGGTTGGTTTGCTGGATGAAAAATAGTGCTAACCGTATAAGGTTGTACAACCTACCTTGCGCGCGCATATAGTAATCCGATAAGCCAATCAACGTTCGAGAAAGTAATCCAATATGGCGGACGAAGACGTTGAAAATCAAAACAAAATTTGCTTCGAAGAAATTCAATTTTTTCCCATTGTTTCTCAAACTAATGTTTATGGCTTAACTACATTTAAGGACAGAAGCAATGGATGTAATAAAGTGTTGTTAGCTTGCCTTAAAGGAAATATATTGAGCATATGTTCTCCCGAGAGTGCAAGACCTTGTCATTTATCATCTGCGAATGTACCTCTCAAAAATTTACAAGGTAGGCTGAAACTATATGCTTTTAATTTTAGCATTAAGTTATAAAATTTGATTAACTTAATTGGTAAATTATTGAAAAGCTTTTTATGCAGCTCAAATAATACGTACATGCGAGGGTAAATTTTTAAATGAAATATAGTTCATAGTAGTGATACTTTTTTTGCTAACGCCCCCCCCCCCCCCCCCCCCCCCCCCCCCCCCCCCCCCCCACAGGCGGCCCAATCTCTGAACGTCCTATATATTTTGAATATTTAACCGTTATAATATTTTAAAATAAAATAATTCAAAAAATATTAACAATATATGAAAAAAATATATCTCACTTGTTAATAGATCCATTTGTTGTGTTTCTGAGTCTAGTTGATGCGATTGCTTTACGTTTTCGTCGTACTTGAACGGTCGTCAGTACTATGGCACTGGACGACATGGCCGTATAGGACATAAATAACTACAAGGCTAGCCACTTATCTGATATACTCTCCGACATCGAGTCCAATATCTCGCCTCAGAATCGTCACAGAGCAATAAATTTCACATCGTCTAATAGCACGAACGTTCCTCTTTCAAAAGAACTTGGTTTCTTCACCATTGTGGCAATTCTCGCGACACACGACAAACTTTGTTTGTCAAAAGTCCAAATTTCCATTTTCAAAAGAGGCGCTAACCCCATGATCGTCGCCACAAGAGCTGCTCAGCAACTTGGCCTCCTCATTTGAAAACATTCCATCGGGGGGAGGAGCTGGACTGGAATGAGGGGGCTTTCAAAGCAACACAATAAAACACATGATATAAATTATTACTTTATCATGTCGAATACAGCATGATAAAGTAATAATTTCTATTTATATCTTGTGTTTTATCGTGTTGCTTTGAAAGCCCCCTCATTCCAGTCCAGCTCCTCCCCCCCCTGATGGAATGTTTTCAAACGAGGAGGCCAGGTTGCTGAGCAGCTCTCGTGGCGACGATCATGGGGTTAGCGCCTCTTTCGAAAATGGAAATTTGGACTTTTGACAAACAAAGTTCGTCGTGTGTCGCGGGAATTGCCGCAATGGTGAAGAAACCAAGTTCTTTCGAAAGAGGAACGTTCGTGCTATTAGACGATGTGAAATTTATTGCTCTGCGACGATTCTGAGGCGAGATATTGGACTCGATGTCGGAGAGTATATCAGATAAGTGGCTAGCCTTGTAGTTATTTATGTCCTATACGGCTATGTCGTCCAGTGCCATAGTACTGACGACCGTTCAAGTACGACGAAAACGTAAAGCAATCGCATCAACTAGACTCAGAAACACAACAAATGGATTCTATTAACAAGTGAGATATATTTTTTACATATATTGTTAATATTTTTGAATTATTTTGTAATTTTAAAATATTATAACGGTTAAATATTCAAAATATATAGGACGTTCAGAGATTCGGCCGCCTGTGGCCTGGTTAGGTCTATCTAGTAAAATGCACCAAATCCTGATATTTGGTTTTATGAGGTTATATTTTTGTTGGATATTGTACGTTTACAGTAAAATCCCCAGTATACTAAAACTCCGAGTATAAAGGGGGGCGGGG